TCTCTTGGAGAAGATTGCAGGGAAGCCAGGATGACTGCTGTGGAGACAGGAAAATTCAGATCATTCCCCGTCCTGTCCCCAGCAATACCATGTTCCCTGCCCCAGTCCCCCCCATGGTGGCCATTTTGCACCCCACACCTCTGCACTATTGGGGGGCTTTGATGTGCTTTCAAAATTGGTAATGGTATACAATGGTATATCAGTATAGCAGTGTCAATAACATAAAACAACCTCAAGAGGCCCCCCAGGTGACATGGGGAGAATGGCGTCTATGGGGGACTGGGGTAGGAAAAATATGGGAATGCGCAATGTGTGGAAGCATTGAATCAGTGGCTGCCCTGGCAACAGGAAACCCCTGGAAATCGCCTCTGCTTGGAAGACCCCTCTCAGGTGGAAACTTAGACAGTATGTGCTAACCGTAGTGAAAAGCAGTCATCCTTCCCTCTAACATCTACTCTAGTGATTCTTAATATGCCCCACCTGCCAGGAGGGTGAATCTTGGCAGTGGCAGCTGTAACAATTCTGTGAAATCCAATTCCCACAGACCACAGTAGTGAGGCTGCTACTTCCCCTTGGTTTGGTCACCGTGCCATAGCAGTAACTGCTGTAATTGGGAACTGGGGGAATTTCCAACAAAAAAAAGTGACCCATGTATGAGAGTAGGGATGGGCACAAACCGCAAAAATGCCGTTCAGGTCCATCCCTTTAAATGGGGTTTTCAGAAAGCAGCAAAAACAGCTGAGCAGTGGGAGGTGCTCCCAGGTGCTCAGCTGTTTTGGGCCTTCCTGTGCAGTCCCTTTAAAGTTTAAAGGGACTGCACAAGAAATCTGGGAAATGGGGAGCAGCCCATCCAGGGTTGGGTGCTGCGTCAACAGGGGAAGCCCCTGTCCGCCGCCAAGCAATCTGGGAGAGCCTGGGTGCTCACCCACCCTCCCCCCGTCGCCCTCGGATGCCCTCGGACCTTCCATTGGGAACTCACCCAGGAAGCTGGTGGAGGAGGAGGCCAGCAGCAGAGGAGGGGTGGCCAGGTGAGGCTGACGGGGGAGGAGGCTGGGGTGAGCTGCGCAGCAGCAGCAGCAGGGCCGTGGTGGCAGTACAGTAGCCGGGCCCACCTCGGGGCGGGGGAGGTGGCGCCGGCAGGGACGGAGGCTGCTCCAATCCAGGGACATGTGGGTTGGGCTGGCCCACTCCCCTCTGGGCCCAGCTTTGCTGCCGCCACAGGAAGACACCCAACCAATGTGGTCCCCAGGCTGGAGCAACCTCCTTCCCTGTCAGCGCCACCTCTCTCACCCCTGCCCTGGGCTCCTGGGTTGGACATGGCTGCTGTACTGCTGCTGCTGCAGCCCACGACTGTGGCCCTGCTACCACTGTGCGGCTCACCGCAGGTGTCCCTTCTGCTGGCCACCCCTTCTCTACCGCCAGCCACTCCCCCGCCCCGGCTTCCTGATGGGAAGTCCAGGGGCATCCTCAGTTGACAGGGGAGGGTAGGTGAGTGCCTGGGCTCTCCCGGATCACCAGGCAGTAGATAGGGGCTTCCCTTGTTCAAGTGGCCCCCAACCCTGGACATGGTGCTCCCTGTTTTTCGGCTTTCTTGTCCCTTTAAATCCCTGCTTTCTGGCCAGGAACTGGCACAAACTCCACAAACTACCTTAAACGTTCATGGAAGTCCATGACCATGGACCCAGTCGTGAACAGGGCAGTGCCGTAGGAAAAGGTGACAAGCGACTGGTTTATTATCATACAAAGCCCCTACGTGTTCCGCCATGCAAACTTTGTCAGAGTGCTCAGAGAATTCATCTAGGGCTGGACCCGCCCACAGCAATTGCACTAGGTGAATTCTTTGATCCCTCGACGAGGACTGCGCAGCGAAACATGTAGGGGGTTTTGTATGATAATAAAGCAGTCGCCTGTCACCTGGCATCTCCCCCTTTTCGTTCTGCTGGCACATTGCTGGCTGCAGCCCAGTTTTTCTTCAATCCTCAGTCACCACCATAGCCTGTCCAATTAGGTGTGAACTCTGTTTTCTGCATTGGAGCTCTTTTTCTTTAATACTCATTCCTTTCTTCCTTGGCATTCAGAACCCAGAGCTGAAATCCTTTTCTCCATCTCGTGGCCCCAAGGCCGGAGGCACCTGCCTGACACTGACGGGATCCAAGCTGTTGACCGGAAACCCCAGCGAAATCAGCATCCTGATTGGGCACCTCCCTTGCTACATGTAAGAGCTGCTGCCTGGTTTTGCCAAGGTTGATCCGGAGCAGGCCAGTGACTGGGGACCTAAGCCCTTCGCCAAAAGGCCCTAAGAGCCAGCCGTGAGACATTGCCTTAACATGCTGATCCACGTTCATGACTTTGTAAGGATATCCTCTGCCATAGGTCAGAGTCCCTGCCTTCACTTGCTCATCATTCTCAGAATTATTCCAACCTGGCTCAGGGACAAGCTACAATCAGTATCTATGGTTGAATCCCACCTCCCAATGTGTGCGTTACCCACATAAAGCCATGGGGAGCGGGACAATGCAGATTGGACCAAGAGGCTGGGGAAGGGAAGTGGACTTTTGGTCCCTGCACTGTTTCCTCAGTTGGAAGTCTGCCTCTCCTGCCCCTTAGTCCTGGCTTGTACCTGATGTTGGCCACTTCAGGGAGCTTTCAATTCTCAGAATTATTCCAACCTGGCTCAGGGACAAGCTACAATCAGTATCTATGGTTGAATCCCACCTCCCAATGTGTGCGTTACCCACATAAAGCCATGGGGAGCGGGACAATGCAGATTGGACCAAGAGGCTGGGGAAGGGAAGTGGACTTTTGGTCCCTGCATTGTTTCCTCAGTTGGAAGTCTGCCTCTCCTGCCCCTTAGTCCTGGCTTGTACCTGATGTTGGCCACTTCAGGGAGCTTTCAAATGGCGATCAATGAGACCTCTCCTCCCCCCCCTTCCTCAAATTAAGCTCAATCTACTAGGTCAATGGAGGGATGGTGGGCAATGTTATAGCCTGATCTTGTCACATCTTGGAAGCTAAGCAGGGTCGGTACTTGGAAGGGAGAACGCCAAGGATGACTCTGCAGAGGAAGGCAATGGCAAAACCATCTCTCCTTCTCGCTTGCCTTGAAAGCCCCTTGGCCCAGCTCACCAGAAGCCAGCTGTGACTTGATGGCACTTTAGATGCGCACGCACACACACACACACACACACACGGTCCATGTATGTGTCCGAGACGCTTGTATCTCCCTCCCCCGCCCACTGTGGAGCCCGTCTTCCTCCATCTTTTCACTGTCTCTGGGGCTGGCAGGTTCCTTGATGGCCTCCCTTCTTGTGCTCTCCCCTCCCAGTCATTCCGAGATGCAGGAGGACAAGCTGCAGTGCCAGACGAGTCACAGCAATATATCCGTGGAACTTCCTATCACCGTCAAGTACGAGCATCACGAACGAAGACTGGAGGGTTCCCTCTTCAGATACACCCTGGACCCCAACGTCACCTTTGCAGAACCGTCCAAGAGCTTCCAGAGGTAATGACTCCCGAAGACTAATGTAATAAAATTGCCCAGCAGCCACATTCACACAGGAGTCTGGCTGAGGGAGGGAGATATTTCAGGCTGTGGTGTTAAGGCCTCCTGCCTGCATCTTGTGGTCACTGTGCTTCCAACTTGATTCAATTGGGTGGTCCTCCTGGGTGCAGGTGGTATCAAGCTGTTTCTCACCTAATTTTTACCTGCTGCCTATCTTCAGCTTTGATTATTATTTATTTAACTTCATTTATACTCCTCCTCCACAATGGACAATGGGGATCCAAAGCACTTTACATCATTTTCCTCCCCTCCATTTTATCTTCCCAACAACACTGTGAAGTAAGTTAGACTGAGAATGTGTAACTGGCCCCAGGTCATTCCGTGAGCTTCTAAAGTATAATGGTGATTTGAACCTGGGTCTCCCAGATCCTAGTCTGAAACTCTAGCCACTACACAGTACTGGCTTCCATGAGGTGGCTGCTGTTGAACAGTAGCAAGCAACCAGGCCTGGGTGAGTTGTATAAGTCACCCAGTAGCTGCTGCTGGGCCTGGCCCCGATGAATCCTCCCTTAAAGGTCAAAAACAGCTCTGTGAAGGGCTCTGCCCGCTTCCCTGCCTTTTGCTGACAGAAACCAGGACTTGAAGGATGGAAATACTGTTGTGATGGTGTAGCTATGGCCCCTGAGAGGATTTATTTTTTTAAAGCAACAGGTGCTGCCTCTATTATTTTTGGAAGGATTAACTGCTTAGTGGGTGTTTTTTTTTTAAGATTTCAGATTTTTTTTTCAATCCTGAGGCATTCTTTAGGTTTATATAAAGATCTTTCTTGTCTGTTCATAGCTCCAGTCTCCAGATTTAAGTATCTCCCGATCTGGCCATGTTGAGAATTAGATATATTGATAATGATGATAACTGAGATTAATTTTAATTGATGCTCTAAGAAAGTCAGTGAAAGCCAAACTGCCAAATATTACCTAGTTATTGGGGGCAGGAAATCTTCATAAGGGCAGCCCACCTAAGATCCTCTTCCCCCAGTTGAATAAACTTTCTCTTTGGCTAAGGCAGTTCAGGAAATGTGGCATTAGAAAGTTCGAATAGCAGCATGATTACAACCATATAATCCATTTTCTCCTGTTGGAATACATTATTGAGATGGAATAAATGTGCATCCCTGTCTGAAGTTATATCTTTGCCTATGTCTACACAGTTCCGTCTTTTCAGGTTCATTTCTTTTTCGCACAAATTTTTAATGAAGAATTAGGAAAAAACAATTAGCGTGCATGAAAAAAAGGATAAGTAGATTAAATTTGGTAATGATAGAAGCTTTTCCCTTGTTTTGGACTACAATCCATAATGGCTAGAAACTTAAAAAGTGAAGAACTGAAATTATCTTAACAATTGTTTAATTGTTTATGCACTTTGTTGTTACCCACGCTGAGCCCATTTGGGAAAGCGGGATATAAATTTAATAAATAAATAAATGTGTATGAGCGTGATATTCAGCACAATCTTACACACATCTGCCTTGAAATAAATCCCATTGGTTTCAGTAATATTTAATTCCAAGTACATTAGATTAGGATCAAAGTTTTAGCCTTGGCATTATTCCCAATATACTAGATCATGCTTGTTTTGCAGATATCCGAGGAATTACTGTGTAAGTTTGTACTTCCTACAGGGTATTTCAGATGCTGACAGCACAAATTAACCCACATATTCCCTCAGCAGGGCACGTATAGTTGCGCGTACAAATGAGCTAGCAGATGTCCTTGCAAGTTTTAACTGCTGTCAAGCCACCTATCCAGGTTGTTCAAGGGCCTAAATGGGTGATTCCAGGGAGTTTAAGTGCACAGTGTGATCAGGGAAATGTTACAACTGTGGGGAGATGTCAGGGATTGGTGTAATTGTCACCAATGTCGTTTGTGTCTGTTTGTCTATTTCAGTGGCGGGAGGCAGATTCGAGTTCACGGGCATAACCTTGATGTTGTACAATGGCCGAAAATTCGTGTGACAGTTTCACCACCGGAACGCCGTCGCCGGGGCCTGGGGAGGTGGCGTAGGATTATCCCAGAAACAGAATGCCCCGAGAATGCTCTCTGTAGTGTCCAGCAAGTAGGTCGGCCACCATGGTATTTAAAAAAAGCATGTCAGATAAAAATGAAACCGATTCTCAGTGTGTGGAGGACAGTATCCTGCATTATTCTTCTCCCTTGCTGCACAGACAGGACTGGGTAAATGAACCAGGATTATTACGCCTTCTGCTGGGAGCAGGCCTCTCCCAGGTCTAGTCCCGCTTGCTCCCCAGTCATAGGGGGAGACTTCAGAGGTCAGTCTGGGGAAGCACCAGAAATTTTTTTTTTTGCCCTGTTCCCTCCCTTGGCCTGATTTTGAAGGAGGCATTCCCTGACCTGGATAGCCCAGGCTAGCCTGATTTCGTCCAATCTCGGAAGCTAAGCAGGGTCGGCCCTGGTTAGTATTCGGCTGGGAAGACCAGGATTGCTATGCAGAGGGAGACAATGAAAAAAACCCCCTCTGAACATCTCTTGCCTTGAAAACCGCCACAGGGTCACCGTAAGTTGGATGCAACTTGACAGCAAAAACAAAACAAAAAGTGAGACTGGTTCACGTGCTTTGTGAAAAACAAAAAACTCCTTCCCTAATTCGATATCTCCCACATATACCCATAATTTTTATTGTGATTTCTTTATCTCTGAATGAGACTGTTGCTTCCAGTCTTGCCCCCTTCACATGATATCTCTGAAACACAATACTTTGCCAGGACCACATGCAAAGTGAGACAGCTGCCTCAAGTGAGAATTAAAAGGATCGCAAATTGAACTTAGGACTTCATTTCTATCACAAGACCGGAAGCTATTTTGAATTTTTCAACTCAGGTGCTTAAATATTTGGTGCTATGCTTGGTCACTGCAGTTCAATGATCCTCACTGCAACCCCCTGACCTGTTACTCCAAACTGGACCTGTTACCCCAGAAGTCAACTTTCCCAGGGCAGAAGGGATTGCTGGGCGTGGGTGGGTGGGGATTAAAAAGATCCACAGTCCTAGGAAAAGCAGAATGCTGGATCCAACCAACTGAGTTGAGGGTGGGGAAACGGGGCAAGGAATGAACGAATGTGCCTGATAAACCCTCCGCAGAACATGGCACTCTGTTGCCATCCCGCCCTATTCCATTTGCAAAAGAAGCCCAGGAGTTAGCATCAGGGGTGGATGGAGAAAAGGATTCTTGGTGATGTGATTGAGCCTTGAGCACAGATTGTTTGCGGAGTTGTGATGGGCAGGGCCCAGCCATTCACAGTTCCTCATTTCTGATCCTAGTTTGAAGAGCCATGTGAAGTTAACTCCTCCAACCTCATCCTGTGCAAAACGCCGGCCATTAAGTCGCATCCCCCCTCCATCCAAGTGAAACTGGAGTTCGTGTTGGATAATCTCAGCTTTGACTTCAACTCTTTGCACCCATCCCGCTTCTCCTATGAGGTGGACCCCGTCCTGAAGCCCCTGAATGCGGATGATCACACCAAACCCTATCGTCACAAGCCCGGAAGTGTCATCTCTGTTGAGGTAATGGAACACTTGGTTCCCTGATGACATGAACTCTCAAGCTGCAGCCATTCAGTGAGGCTCGGAAGAGGTCTTCCTCTCCCCACTCCTTGGCCCATCAGTTTTCCTCCAAAGCCTTGCATCTTTCACAGTCGGACACTGCCTTACCTTGGTTGCCTTGTGCTCTTTCCTCCAGGGAGAGAATCTGGACTTGGCCATTTCAAAAGATGAGGTGGAAGCCAGGATCGGCATTGGGGTCTGCGGAGTCAAGACCCTTACGAAGCACCATCTCTACTGTGAACCCCCGTCTGAGCAACCTGCCCCTCTGCACAGAGCCAAGCGGGAGGGCACAGACTCGCTGCCAGAGTTCACAGTAAGGGGTGGATATTGGCAACAGGGGAGTTTGATCTGGGTAGGTGGGGGAGACAGACAGGCATGTTGGAATGAGTTCAGAAGTGGAAGAGAACAATCATTTCTTAAAATATTAGGTTGGATGAACTATGGGCCACTTTATTAAATTACAGTTGGAAGTAATGGCAAGGGCAAAATATGGAAAGCGGCATGATCCGGGCCAAGGGTCAGTGTTGACCCTTCCCCAGTCGCAGGACGCGGAGCCACCTCCCCCCAGCTTGAGCCAACCTGTGTGGCTCTCCGCCGGCAGGCACAACGAAAGACATGCCCTGGAGATCCAGCCCCAAGTCGCAGAACTTAAGCGGCCGATCGATCCATGCAGTCCCCAAGGCAGTTTGCCATCTTTCCCCGGGTCGCCTAACCCAAAGGATAATCTGGCCAAACACCTCTCGCCTGAAGTAATTAATTGGTGCTCCCCTTAGCCGCATTTCCGTTATCAGCCCCAATCCTGCCACAGCCGAGGTCAAGCCTCAGCTTAGGCCGAATGCCCCCGCCGTAAATGCGTGGTTTTATTAATAATGGATGAACTTGCAAAGCCGACAGATACAATCTGTTAAAACAGGTCAAGTTTGACACCCCCCCCCCATTGTGCGTCTGGAAGGTTTCACTTGAACTGCAGGTGTTTTTCTAAGCTAGATTTGCAGGCAATGAGCAGCTCAGCTTCCCCCTTCTAAGAGCCTTCTCTGTTAATGACATGGGGAGTGGGTCTTATGCACCAAACAGGGATCTGAAGAAGTGTCACATGAAGAGAATTAAATGGGGTTGGTGCCTGCTCTGGTTACTTATGCCAAAGGCTGGGTTCAGATGCTATGGTCAGCCATGATTGATAAACCATGTTTTGATCAAACCCCAGTTAATTTTGACACCAGAATGTAGAGGCTTTAACTAAATATGAGTTCTTGGTTGGCATCAAACCTGGGTTTTGAACTAGGGTTTGTAGCTGGTTCGTACTAATTGTGGTTTGTTGTGGTCTGAATTTATAAATTGTGTGGGGGGTTTTAAAATTAACATTGCCTAGTAGAAACAGAGATGACAATATGGAGAGGATATCGTCCCTGCTGCGAAGTGGGAGAGAGGCAACAAACAAACAAACCGAAGACTGAATGACAAATTAGGTTTTGTAGAGCAGCCAGAGTTTTGCACCAACCGCAGTTTATCAAGACGCCAGAATCCAGCCAGCTTGTTGAGACATGAGAATGTATGTCTTCTCCAACAGCCACTACTTAATCTGCTTGCCCAAATATTCTCTTCATCCCCTTTAGCAGTAGGTGCCCTGGATCCTTGGAGACCCACAATGGAGCTCACTTCTGCATCCTTCCTTCCTCCTGCAGGTTCAGATGGGGAACAAAAACTTCCGACTGGGTCGTGTGCAGTACGACACGGAGAGTCAGCTCACCTTCCCCCTGGAGGCCCAGATTGGCTTGGGCGTGGGAGCCTCTTTTGTGGCTTTGGTCGTGCTAATCATTGTTTACATCTACAGGTGAGAAAGGAAAGGAAAGCAGGAACCTCTTGCGAGCAAGATCCTGCTCCGTAGGCCCCGCCAGGCAGCACTCTCTGCGGCTTAAGAGCCAAACTCAAAAGTCATCCGGGTAGGCTGACCGCCATTTTAAAGACATTTCGGAATGCTGCGAGAACATTTCTCCCACTGCCTTGAACCTTTTCAAGTGCTGAAAGAGCCATGGGGGAGGAAAACCAGCTCCCCTTTGGCTGTTTTGGCACTGGAAAAAGCACAGGGGGGGGGGGAGAGCACCGTGCTGCAGGTTGGGCCCTTGTGGCATTTTAAAATGGCAGCGGTGTTCTCGTGTCAACCACAGGAACGCTGTCACATATCGCTTGGCCCTTAGAGAAGCTAGTTGAGTCACCTGCACTGGTGCTCTGCTTTTTGGCAGCCCAGGAATCTGCTAATGGCCCTTCCTTGAGAGGTCTGTTTAGGTTCCTTAGAACCTTGTACTGCTTTCTTCTCCTGGCAATAAAGAAACAAACAGGCACCATATATATCTTGCGCAGCAGGGGGGGCACTAGGTTGGAAGATTCCTGTCGCCCTCCTCCAACACTGCTGAGGGTGATGTGATGCTGTTACCAAAGGCGTGTCGAGAGGCAGCAAGGGAGATGTGGAGGTAGACGGCTAAGGAATGGGCACCGGAACCTGGTTCCCGCGAGTGTTGTTATCACCTCTCCATGCTGGGTTCCGCTACCCATTCAGTAACTGCGCGCCTCCGCAGGGCGGCAGCTTCAGCCCCCGCTGTCTCTGTCAACACCTCCTGTCATCTTCCAGTGAGGGCACCACACTCCCCCTCCCGCTTCAGCAGCACACAGTGGTGGGAGGAGGGATGTATTCCCCGTGACCCGCCCATGAGCCTCTGCTGTCGAGGATGAGCCCTCTTCCCCTTCACTAGCGGTGACTCCAAAGCTAGAGGGGTATAAAGGGCCTGCCCACAAGTTCAGCCTGTAACATACCACTATATAGCCCCACTGCTTTCTGCCACTGTGAAGTACAGATTACAGCATAGATGCCATGCCTACAATAAGATTCAATGCAGCGCCTGCATAAAGGCATAAAGTGAGCCAGTTTGGTGTAGTGGTTAAGTGCGCGGACTCTAATCTGGGAGAACCGGGTTTGATTCCCCACTCCTCCACTTGCACCTGGCTAGATGACCTTGGGCAAGCCGTAGTTCTGATAAGAGCTGTCCTTGAAAAAGAGCAGTTTCTGTCAAGGGCTCTCTCCACCCCACCTACCTCCCAGGGTGTCTGTTGTGGGGAGGGGAAGGGAAAGGAGTTTGTAAGCCGCTCTGAGACTCCTTTGGGTAGTGAAGGGCTGGGGTATAAGTCCAATCTTCTCCTCCTCCTCCTCCACATAGGAATTGCGCACATGCACATCCCATGCTAGCGGCACAAGCCAGTGTGTGACCTACAGCGCTGACCCCAGGCACGTTGAAATGAGCAGTCGTTTCCTCTGCCCCTTAACCAGACCCAGTTGCCTATCATGGGCCTTGGCTGCACATCTCCATGACGGCCAGGTGGAGAAGATCACTTAAAAATGTAGAGAGCCAGTTTGGTGTAGTGGTTAAGTGTGCGGACTCTAATCTGGGAGACCCGGGTTTGATTCCCCACTTCTCCACTTGCACCTGGCTGGATGACCTTGGGTCAGTCACAAGCTCTGGCACAGCTGTCCTTGGAAAAGAGCAGTTTGTGTCAAGAGTTCTCTCAGCCCCACCCACCTCACAGGGTGTCTGTTGTGGGGAGGGGAAGGGAAAGGACTTTGTAAGCCGCTCTGAGACTCCAAGTGAAGGGCGGGGTATAAATCCAATCCTCCTCCTCCTCCTCCTCCTCCTCCTCTTCTTCTTCTTCTTCTTTTGCGTCAAAAGTCTTCTCTCTCTCTGCTTTTTATCCCATTCCATCTGGGGATGCATCTCTCTCTGAGGTTACAGATCAGTGCCTGCCTTGGCACATGTCCCCTTGATTCCAGTCCTTCCAGTATCCCTCAAGCCCAATTAATGTCCAGAAGCCTTCAGCACATGAAGCTGCCTTAAACTGGGTCACACCATTGGTAGATGAAAGTATTGTGTGCTCTTAACTGGCAGCAGCTCTCCGGGGTCTCAGGTCTTTCACATCACCTGCTATGAGCTCCTTTTTAACTGGAGATGACAGAGATTGAACCTGGGACCTTCTGCATGCAAAGCGGATGCTCTGTCACTGAGGCATGACCTTTCCCTCATTAGATGTATACAGCATGAATTCTCCACAGTTCATTCCCAGTTACATACTTTGGTTTTGTGCTTTAAAAAGTGGCTGGGTTTCTAGCACAATTTAAGAGCAAGGCCAGGAGCCCCGATATCAGCCTTTTTTCTCCCCCTTGCTTTCAGGAAGAAGAGCAAACAGGCTCTGAGGGATTACAAAAAAGTTCAGATCCAACTAGAAAATCTGGAAACCAGCGTCCGAGATCGGTGCAAAAAAGAATTCACAGGTATCTGTCATGTTTTTATGCTGCCCTTCTAAAGAATTCAGGGTGGCAGGTGTGTAGTTTTCATTTGTGTGTGGTAGAGGTAGAAAGTGCTGAACTGTGGCGGCCCCTTTGGGTTTACAAGGCAAGAGACAGAGGTGGTTTGCCACTGCCTGCCCCTGGTCTCCCATCCAAGTACTAACCAGGGCTGACCCCACTTTATTTGCAAGATCTGACAAGACCAGACTAGCTTGGGTCACCCAGGTATCAGGGTCTTCTATATATAGATCTTCGATGTGGTCTCTGTGCTTCACACCCATGGGATACAGTGCGCCTGCGCTGGATTGATCGGTATTGTAGCAAGCTCTAACGGATTTTCGCACTCAGGCCTCAGGCATGCGCAGGAACCCCACCACGCATGCCCAGAGGGGTGGGCGCAGACATCCCGCCAGTTCCTTTCTTTCCACCGCGCTGGAAGCACCTTCCCTTCGTCGGTCAGATTGGTAGCTATTTTCCTCAGAGGCTCTTCGGATTTCTCTTCAGTTTTTCCTCTTAGTTTTCACCTTTCCTTCATCTCTTTGTTTTTTCTTTAAAAAAAAAGAAAAAAGACTTTATTTAGTTTTGAGGGGGAAGTTTTTCGTCCTACCTCAGTTTGGCCTTCGCCCGCCCCCCCTCACCTATCTTTCTTCTCCATCCATTTTATTTTATGGAGAAAAGGTGGGGGGTTTTCAAACATTGTAAAGGGTGCGGCAGTAAGCTTGCTCCACCGGACGGCCACACTCTTTGTATTTTTTGTCTTGGTGAGACACACCAACCGGAGTCCTGCAGGCATTGTGCCAAGTTCTCCAGTCAAACTAGGAAGAACCGAGCGGCGCGTCTCCGGGTGGCGTTACTAGAATTGGCGCTAAATCCCACTTCTGCCATGGATCCAGAAGTACCAGTGATACCATTGACATCAATGGCTCTGGCTTCGAAATCCTCCTCCGACATTGTCCAGTTGATATCGAAACATCTGGTACCGACGGTGCAGTCTTCTGCATCCACTCCCATGAAGAAGAAAAAGGAGAAATTGGGTAAAGAGCACAAGTCCGCCAAAAAGGGTTCCTCTAAGGCCCTAAAGGCGTCAAAGGCGGGAAAAGTCGCGGGTCCTGCACTGAGTAATGCCCCTAAGGTGCCCCCTGTTCCAACAACAGTATTGGCATTGGAAGCTCCAGTTGCTACACCGATACCAACCATCCAGCTGATGGACTTTCCAATACACCAGCTAGACCATGACACACTGGTTGACATGCGTCCTTTCTCCGACATCGATAATGTCGAGATCCTCAGTCGTCCCCTGGGTACGGATTGTTCTCTCTCTGCTCAGTCATCGACGTCTACAATCTCAGAGTTCCGCACTGATATCGATGCAGGTCGGCATCGACAGATCCCTCCAAACACTCAACGTCATCCTCCCCGTCTGTTTGCTGAAGATCAGCCTTTCGATATCAATGATGGGGCTGATAGGGGCGGCTCACAGAGATGAGATACTATGCTGTCTCCAAGACGCTCCCGCTCTAGGAGTAGATCCCCACGAGTCTTCCTACCCCCACCACCTCCTGCCCTCCTACGTTATCTGTATGGAGCTTATCCACGTGCATCTATGCCGTGGCTGACTCCAGCGGGTTACTCAGATTGGGATAGTTACTCTGCTCACAGATCACGGTCACCCCGTAGATCGAGGCCGACACCCTCAGCATCTCTTTCCCGGTCTCCGGATCATGCATCTGATGACCTTCCTCGACATCGACCGGATCAATATCGTCCTCCCAGTCCCCCTATCCCACCGTCAACAGATCCAACCAGTCAGATCAAAACCACTCCGGTACAATTACCAGAGCCCGATTCCTCTGACTCTGCACATGAGGATTCGAATACGGGGGTTTCAGATGTACACAGCTCCCCTGACCAGCCTTCCCCAAACCAGGCAGTAGCTGATGACCAACCTATATTTGAAAACTTGACTTCCTACGGAGACCTCGTTAAAAGAATGGCCCACTCCCTTGGCCTTTCTGTCGTACAACCACAACCACAGGTTACAGGTGCTGTTTTCGATGTGGTGCAACTAGATACATCGACAGCTATAGCACTACCCATGTCCACGGTCCTGTTACAAGCAGCTAAAGCGCCATGGGATAAACCATCATCTGCTCCAGTGTCCACATGCCGCATGGACCACATGTATAGAGTCCAGGAAACGGGAGCGGACTTCTTATTCGCCCATCCTCAACCAAATTCAATGGTGGTCACTTCCTCTTCCAAGTCAAAGAAAACCCATTCTGCCCCTTCAGACAGGGAGAGCAGAAAGCTAGATGCATTTGGCCAACGTTTCTACTCTACTGGAGCACTAGGGGTGAAGACCACGAACTACTCAGCGTGTATGAGTAGATACCAATACACTTTGTGGGAGAGGCTCTCCGAGCTCTTGGCAAACCTTCCAGAAGATAAGCGTCAGGCAGCCCGCATCATCCAAAAGAAGGGCATGGAGCTGGCAAAACAACAAATTAATACCTCTAAACATGCCCTAGACACCTGCTCGAGGACAATGGCTTCAGCCATAGCTCTCCGAAGACATTCCTGGCTACGTAACACCAATCTACAGCCAGATACAAGAACATACGTAGAGGACCTCCCCTTCGATGGCCTTGGTCTTTTTAATACTACAACAGACACCATATTACAAGACATGGACAAAAGCATAAAAGCCTCTCATGCTCTGGGCGTTTCTTCATCCACGAGGCAGCAATACTGGCCTCGTCCCTGGTCTAGACCCTGGCAAAAACATACCCCAAACTATCAGTCTCCTGAGCGGCAATGGAGGCCACGTACATCCTCTGGAGACCCAGAAGCCCACATTTCAGAAACCTAGATTTGGATCGGGACAACAATCCTCCCACAGTAAGCAGGCAAAGTCCGCCAAACAGGGTTTTTGACTTCCATGTCTTCCAGTCACAACCCACCCATCTAACCCCCTTCCTCCACACTTGGCGCCTCATCACCACAGACTAATGGGTGCTGTCCATCTTGACCCAGGGTTACCATATAGAATTTATTCAGAACCCCATTACTCCAGTCTTCGTCTCCATACCCCCTTCCCTAGCCCTTCTGGAAGAAGTATCCGTCCTTCTGCACAGGGGAGCCATCGAGCCGGTGCCACCATCTACAGGGCAGCGGATTCTATTCCCGCTATTTCACCGTTCCAAAGCGGGATGGAGGCGTTCGACCAGTCTTAGATCCACGGGCGCTAAACTGCTTTGTGAGCTACCACTGTTTCCGCATGGTGTCCTTGAAGCAGATTCTGCCACTTCTCCCTGGATAGCCTCCAGGACGCGTACTTCCACCTCACCATCCACCCGTCCCACCGCCAATACCTATGCTTCGCAATTGGTCAACATCACTACCAATATGCAGCTCTGCCATTTGGCCTTATCCTCGGCTTCGCAGTAATGACCTGCCAGCACCCTCCTCCAGGTAGGCCACTGCTCGCTAATCTCCCATGGGTGTGAAGCACAGAGACCACGTCGAAGATAAAGATGTTGCTTACCTGTAACTGGTGATCTTTGAGTGGTCATCTGTGCATTCACACCACCCGCCCTTCTTCCCCGCTGCTGTCAGCTTCTAAATTTTTCATAGGGGTTGATTCGCAGCGGTTTGAAGGAACTGGCGGGATGTCTGCACCTACCCCTCTGGGCATGCGTGGTGGGGTTCCCACGCATGCCTGAGGTCTGGGCGTGAAAATCCATTAGAGTTTGTTACAATACCGATCGATCCAGCGCAAGAGCACTGTATCCCATGGGTGTGAATGCACAGATGACCACTCGAAGATCACCAGTTACAGGTAAGCAACCTGTTTTTCTCCTCTATGTTATCCTCACAGCAACCCTATGAGATAAGCTATGTTGAGAGAGACGGACGCACCCAAGTTCACCCAGCAAACCTTCCTGGCTGAGCTGGGGTTTGAACCCAGATATTCCACTACTAGTCCAATATTCTAACCACTACACCACACTGACTATTAGATAAAAGGAATACAGGACACATCATCTCCACCTTTTTGGGTATGAAAGTGGTTGTGCACCATCCCTGAAGGATTTGGAGCCACCTTCCGTACAATGGAAAGCCTAAAGTCTTTGCAGGCTGGGGGGGGGGGGGGGCGGGGAAAAAGGGAATAAAGGCAACTAAGTGTTTGATAACTAGAATTTGGAGGTCACCTGATAGAATCGATTGGTAGTAGATTCCAGAGAGGCAAAAGGAAGAACTTATTCACACAGCGGATACTTAACGGAATTCAGTGCCACGTTGTGGTGCCGGCCAGTAGCTTAGGGCTAGAAGATATCGGTGGGTTGTGATTGGATCCATCTCTTTAAAGCCCTGTAAATGCCTTCTTCCCTCTCCCCCACGTCTTGTATCAGAACTGCAGCATATGGGTTGGAGGGCGGGATAGCTGTTAACCCTTTTCTAAACAGTACTTCTTGGGGGCCAGTTCATGTCCAGAAAAGGATGCAGGGGGAGGAGAAGCAGATTAAGATTGGCTGAGCAGTGCCTTCTTGATCCAGCACCTGACACACTCTGTCCTCGTGGCTGCCATATAGAGAACTGTAATATAACGGGAGATCTGATCATCAGACATCATACCTAGATCATCCCAAAGGGTAGCTTTGAAAGGAGTTCCACGATAGCTCAGTGGAACTTCTGTGTTCAGAGGCAGTACACCATTGAGGACCATTTGCTCAGGCGCAGTCGTGGGGAAGGCTGTTGCCATCATCATCCTCCCATCCCCCAAATCGTCATTTGTATTATTGCATTATTGTGTTATTACACAATTTAAAAGCCGTGCAATAAGAACAATGTAAAACAGATGGTCACCAGTGAATAAAACCAGTTTACAGAATTAGGCAACAGTGCACTAAAAACAGTGCAAAGCGTAACCAGCAATGCAACAGAGCTGGACTGTAAAACTGGAGAAGAATGCAAGAAAACCTGCCTAAAATTTCACAGGTGTTGACTGCAGTCTTCTTCCCCGTTGTAAAAATCCAACCCTCCCAACCCCCCAAACAATATTTTTAAAATAAATTTGGTGGAATGATAAGAGTGGGGGAAATTTCCTGACCTCCTCAGGCAGGCCCTTTCACCAGGAGGGGAGCCCTGGCAGAGAACATTCAGGTATGGGCAGCTGTTGATTTTTGTGCCTGGTTTGTGGGCTTCCCCGAAGCTTTCCACTGGCCACTGTAAGGAACACGGTGCTGAACCAAATGGTCCCTTCACAAGATCCAGCAGGGATCTTCTTTTGTTCTTAGCGGCATGGCCACCCACACCCTTTGGGGCTTCGTTCCGTAACTCAGATGCTTCCTTTCTTTCCAGACCTCATGACGGAGATGATGGATCTCACCAGTGACTTAGTTGGCACTGGAATTCCTTTCTTGGATTACAAGTCCTACGCAGAACGCATCTTCTTCCCCGGTCACCGCGAGTCACCCATTCAAAGAGGTCTAGACGTACCAGAATGTCGGAGGCAGACGGTAGAACAGGGCTTGGTGCAGCTTTCCAACCTCCTCAATAGCAAACTCTTTCTCACCAAGGTAAACCAACACTCTCATCGGGTAGGGCCAGGCCAGTGCGAGAGATGCAAAAACCATGCAGCAGAGCAGAATCCAGTTGCTCGGTGGCACGTTTCTAGCTCTTGTTGTAGAGAGAGAAAAATCTGAAATTGTGTAAGTAGTGTCAGGGAAAAGTTTAGAAACCAGAATCACAGGGTCAGGATGTAGGACTAGTGCTCCAAACGGTGGGTTGGATCCAGCGATCTGCTCCCACCAGGACTGCAGATCTTTCCTGCTCTTCCCTCCCTCTACAGCCATTTTCATCCCTGGGGAAGTCGATTCACCCGGAGTTGCAGGACCCTTGTGCAGTAATACTCCCATGGGCTGCCATAAGAAGGGGGAAGGGAAGGGGGACTGCTGTCTCCCCTCTCTTCCATCAACACAGCTCTGCAGATTAATCAACACAGATTAAAACTTAAAAACTGATTAAAACATCACAGCTCCAGTGGTGGAAAAGGCAGGAAAGGACAATGGTGCTTCCTCCCCACGAATGTCGCTGTGGTCAGTACTGCAGGGGTGTGTGTCACAGTGGACTGGGTGATTGGGACTCCCTTTGGCTGTGCTCTGATGGAAGGAGCCTGGCTGTGGAGGAGGAAGGAAGGCGTCTTCCGTCGTTTCATATTTCATTAGGTAAAGGTAAAGGTTCCCTTGCTCGAAAGCCAGTCGAATCCGACTCTAGGGTTGCGGTGCTCATCTCCGTTTCAAAGCCGAAGAGCCAGCGCTGTCCGAAGACGTTTCCGTGGTCATGTGGCCGGCATGACTAAACACCGAGGCGCACGGAACGTTGTTACCTTCCCACTGAAGTGGTACCTATTTATCTACTTGCAATTTCTTGCTTTCAAACTGCTAGGTTGGCAGGAGCTGGAACTAGAGACGGGAGCTCACTCCGTCATGCGGCACCCGGGTCTCGAACTGCTGAACTACTGACCTTCCATAGCCTGCAGTTCAGCGTCTTAACCACTTGAGCCACCGCATTTCATTTCATTACTAGCACCTTAAAGACCAACAAGACTTCCAGGTTATCAGCTTTTGAGAGTCAAAGAAGCTTGTTCCCTGGGAATCTTGGTCTCAAACCTTGCTCTTCTATTCCGACTAACGCAGACTAACCACCTGAAATTCTGTCCATGAATGGCAAAGTCACAGAACTTGGAGGCGACTCAATTAACCTCTGTTTCTGCATTTGGTCCCTTGAGATTCCCTCATAGCCCTTTGTGATTCACCCTGTCTCTTGGTTTTTTGCTCCGTCCCTCAAAGCTATCCTGGCAGCCACGTATTTATATGAATGATGTGGGCCAACCCATGTGTATATTCTTGGATTTGGCCCACCATCCCCTTTAAATTGCTGTTCTGGTCCCCAGCGAAACTACTGTTTCCTATGTTGGTCTTCTGTTTTGATCCAGTTCATCCACACCCTGGAGATCCAGCGGACGTTCTCTCCAAGGGACCGGGCTTATGTCGCTTCCCTTCTCACAGTCTCATTGCATGGGAAGCTTGAGTACTTCACAGACATCCTCAAGACTCTGCTGAATGACTTGGTGGAGCAATATGTAGCCAAGAACCCCAAACTGATGCTGAGAAGGTGAGGACTTGGGCAGGAGAGAGGACCCTGCTGTTTTCCTCTTTTTGAGAGCCAGTTTGGTGTAGTGGTTAAGTGCGCGGACTCTGATCTGGGAGAACTGGGTTTGGTTCCCCACTCCTCCACTTGCAGCTGCTGGATGACCTTGAGCAAGCCGTAGTTCTGTCAGAGCTGTTCTTGAAAGAGCAGTTCTCTCAGCTCTCTCAGCCCCACCTACCTCACAGGGTGTCTGTTGTGGGGAGGGGAAGGGAAAGGAGTCTGTAAGCCACTCTGAGACTCCCGAGTGAAGGGCGGGGTATAAATCCAATCTCTTCTTCTTCTCTTAGGCTGGGCTTTTGGGAGTAGTTGTTGATACAGACCCAGTAGCAGCAGGGATGACCTCAGTGTGAACAGAAAAACAGGACGGCAACAGCTTTCCAGATACATTGTTGATATCTCCCGTTTCCCAATTTTAGCACAGAAAGGGGCATTTATCTGCTGCCGCATTATCAAGTTGTCATGGAGGGGTCTTTCCTGGGGTCAGTCTGGGCTGGGCCAGAACACAAGTATTTTGGTAGCCATGTTAATTGCAGGAGGGAGAGGACCATAATAAATGTGGGTTCTCTTTCAGGACAGAAACAGTGGTGGAGAAGCTGTTGACCAACTGGATGTCCATCTGTCTGTATGCATTTGTAAGGGTAAGGCACCCCACCTGTCCATTTAAGAGGGGAGGAGCTCAAGACAGAATGCCATGTCCTGCTAGAATATATTCATTCATTCATTCATTCAAATAATAGATGTACTATATTTCTGCCTGACCACAGGCCTCCAAGTTAGCTCATAGTAAGATGCAATCAATATAATATTTTTAAAGAGTGTGTGGGGGAAATCAATGATTGATTAGGTATTAAGGGAAAGTAGTGCTGTAGGGTGACCGCTCCAATTCCTTGCTGCTACTGTTCCAACTATTGCTTTTTAAAGCATACACGATGGCCATGGGGCAACAGCCCTCCTTCCAGAAGCCACCCGGAAACCAGACCCAGGAAGCCCTGGGTGTTTTGATCCCCGGGGTGGGTCCAGGAATTGAGTGTGTTGTCCTGAGGGTGCCAATAGGTGGGGAGTACTTGTGACGTTCGTGCGTATCGGGGAGACGGTTTTACCTTTAAACATGCTTTGTGTTCCTAAACTTGGTAGATTTCTGCCGCCACCAGGAATTAAAAAATTCCAAATCTCTCTCTCTGCTGGTAGAATGACCTAGGTCTGGGCACTTCAGAGGACTATGTGGCCCTGAGGAAGAACTGTACTGATTGCTGGGATAAGCTTAAATAAAAATTGATGTATTTAATAAAGAAAAAAATGGGTTTCTGGTTATTTTAAACTGTTACTGGGGAAAAAAGAACTTGTAAATATAACTGGTAAAACTGTTTGTCTTATTCACACAGAATAAACCATTTATCTAACCACACAGGATGGATACAACTTGTTTCTTTGGCCATATAGACTCTCTCACGAAACTCTTATAGTCATACAGACTAAACTTCACACAGACTCTCTTCAAACTCTTCCACACTTGTCTCTCTCCCTCCTCCCACACTCTCAGTCATCAGCCAATCAAATCACACTTGTCACCCTCTATCACTCTTCTCATATTACTGCATTCAAACTAAACATTTAAAGGAACAAACACACAAAAACATGGAATCATGACAGTACTAATCAAATATGGCTCTGAATCCAGAACCAAGGAGTTATGTCTAAATTTTGTTGGTAGTAAATTAGGACTGGACATTGTGACCCACACTGGACACAGACGTTTCACCCTTCAAAACTGGGGGGAAAGTGATCTCTTGCTGACACGGGCACTTAAAGGAAGTAGATGTTTAGTCCTGATGCATGAAGGGCAGCTGCCAGTTAAAACAAAGTAAGGGCCTCATTAAAAAAGAAACACCATTTTTTACATTGGCTTGGTGAGATTCTTGCACTTGAACCAGTTCTTCTGCACGCATGTGGCTGGAATGGCTCAGGGTGGCCGATGAAGCTCAAAAGCCCACCTCCCCTTCCGTGCGATGACTAATGAGGCCTCCTCTACTTCTCTACCAGGACTCTGTTGGGGAGCCATATGCCCGTCCGAGGCATCAAGCACCAGGTGGACAAGGGGCCAGTGGACTGGGTGACCGGGAAGGCCAAGTACACCCTGAATGACAACCGCCTTCTCCGAGAGGACCTGGAGTATCGCACACTGGTAAGAACGGCTGAAGCTCTTGCTTGGCAACAGCTAGTCGTGGGCTTGAGATTGAGACGTATTGTTCCAGCCACCTGAAGAATCCCGGCCACTCCTCCAAGCCCTCCGTCTGCCTTCCCAGCAGCTTCTCCATCCTGGAGAAAATTGCTCCATTTCAGCTAAGTCCCTTGCTGGCTGTGGTCCAGTTGCTCAGGCTCCTAGGATCCATTCCAACCCATCCCTCCATCTAGCTGGGCAGGCTCACTGAAAAAGGGTGGCAGCGCAAGAGGCATTGTTTCAGCTCACACGTGTCTTTGTGGTCCTTCCGGCTGAGATCAGAGCCAGATGTTTTCTCAGCAAACACCTGCTCCCAACGCCACTGTTGTTCAGATCATGGGTCCCAAACATGGTGCTCCTGGGAACCATGGTACCCACCCACACCTTTCCTGGTGCCCGCCAAGTATTTTTAGAAAGTGGGCGCGGCCAGGTGGGGCTTCTTCCCAGCAAGGCTTCTGATTGGCCATCAGAGACTAGATTGGCTGTGCAGATTTTTAGAAACATTGCTTTGGCAGCAGCTCTCTCCATAGCACAAGAAACTTCACTGTGTGACTGAAGGTAAGCTGTAGCAACCATTTTGCGGCTGACTCTGCCTCCTGCGGCAGCCGTTTCATGGCTGTGCCATGCAGTCACCACAGTGTCAGAATTCCAAAGGGGCTCATAGGCTCAAAAAGGTTGGGGACCCCGGTTCAGATACTTGCAGTGAAAAGGTGTGTTTCTAACCTGGCCACTGATTCTCCCCAGCAAGTACCATCCGCTCTGGGACACACTTCCACCTGCCAGGCTCACCTTCCATTTCAGAACCCAGCTGGGTTAAAAAAAGCCTTTCAACGTGATCAGGGGCGGGGCGAGGTTAATCAGTGCATCATCCTGACCACTAATCCGCCTTGTAAAACACAGGATTGGGATTCCCGTCCAATCTTATCTTGTGTTCTGGGCTGAAGCCCTCTGCCGAAGAGTTGTGGCCTATCCCTTGGTCTCCCAGTAACGTCAAGGTTCAATTTTAGCACTCAGTTTGGAGCCGTTGGGCAACTGGAATACAGCTGAGTCGGTTTGCCTTGGCTGTTTGTTTTTGCAGACGTTAACCGCCTTGCCGCAAGCCGGGAGCGCAGTGGGAGGAGCAGAGGGTGCCCAGGGGGTACTGGTGAAGGTGCTGGACTGCGACACAATCACCCAGGTGAAGGACAAGATCCTCGACCAGATCTACAAAGGGACACCTTACTGCCACCGGCCAGACCCAGATGCTCTTGACCTGGGTGAGCAACATACCAGCCTTGGATGCTGGAGGGCATGGCTGTTATGATGGAATCCTGAGATGCTCTAAATGGAAACCGGTCTCTTTCCCCAACTTGTGTTTCTGTCTGGCATGCCGTTCCCCCTCTTATGTCTATATTCAGGACATGTCTTGCTAACTCCGTGCCAGCGTGGTTGCTAAGCAACAGCAATGAGGGTTCTCCATCCACTTCCGGGTCAGCTCGAGAAAGGGAACAGGAAGCCACAGTGGGGAGACACCAGCAGCAGAGGGCCCTGTGTCTGGCTGCTGGGAACATACTGAGGGCACACAGGACCAGTGTCACACAGGACCAGTGTCATTAGTTGCATTTGAAGGACTGAGACTGCTGGACTTTTTTCCCTAGCAATACTCTCAAATCTTACTTTGTTTTTTGTCTTCGACTGTGACAGAGTGGAGATCAGGCCTGGCGGGGCACCTCATCCTCTCCGATGAGGATGTGACGTCAGTTGTCCAAGGCAATTGGAAGCGCCTCAACACCGTACAGCACTACAAGGTGAGGAAGGGCTGGAGGGTTGCTGCTGCTGCTGCTATTAGTTGCATTCTGGTTTAGGCCGTTACATGAGGTGCCTCGAGCACAGCACCTTCCTGCAAGGCTCCAGAGGACAAAATGGCTTGCGGAATGGCCTCTTTTGGAGGTTGATACATGAGGGGTCTGGTGAATGGAAAGTCCTGCTCTGTAGAGGGGGGTTGGACTAAGTAGCCTTTCATTCCTTTTCTATGAAGATCATTTTCAGAGGGTAGCCCACATTGGTCTGCAGTAGAGCAGCTAGATTCGAGTAGCACCCTAGACTCGAGTAGCACCCTACAGACCAACAAGATTTTGGGGGTATGAGCTTTCGAGAGCCAAAGCTCTCTTTGCATCTGACAGAGGGAGCACTCTTGAAAGCTCATCCCCCCCCCACCCCAATCATTTTGGTCTCTTAAGGTGCTACTAGACTGGACTCTCGGATTCTATGAAAATATACCCAGTTCTGTGTCCACTGGAAACACAGGCAAACCTGAGGCCATATGAGAGGGATCCCAAACATGGTGCCCGTGGATGCCATGGCACCCACCCAACACCTTTCCTAGTGCCTGCCAATTGCTTTTAGAAAGCAGGTGGGGCCTTTCCCTAGCAGGGCTTCTGATCGGCTGTGCACATTAAAAAGTATCCCTGTTAAACAGAGCTTCTGCCTTAAGTGTTGAAGAGTTACTGTGAGAGTAATGCATGACCTCATGACATTTTACGGTTGGCTCCACCCTCCTGCGGCAGCCATTTTGTTCCTGTGCCCACCACCCTGTGTCAGGATTCCAGATGTGGCCATGGGCTCAAAAACGCTGGGGATCCCTGCCATACGAGATTAGGCATATGAGGACTATCATAGGTAGAGTATTTATGTTCACCATCAAACAGCAAAACAGAAATCAAATGAAAAGCTCAGCAGCAAATATTTGTTCAACAATGTTCATAGCGAAAAAACCACAGAAGCACATTAGGTGAATGTACTTGGCCCTTGAAGCTATCAGATGCACTCATAGGCCATAGAAATAGCTTTTCCGACATGTCTGTGCTATTTTTCCTTTTAAAAAATTTTTAAATTTTAGATTTAGTTTTATAGAGGCTTATAATACTTCGAAAGCAAGAAATTGCAAGTAGATAACATAACATAAGAACATAAGAGACGCCAATGTTGGATCAGGCCAAAGGCCCATCCAGTCCAACACTCTGTCACACAGTCCTCCTGCGGCAGCCATTTTGTTCCTGGGCCCATCACCCTGTGTCAGGATTCCAGATGTGCCCATGGGCTCAAAAAGGCTGGGGATCCCTGCCATACGAGATTAGGCATATGAGGACTATCATAGATAGAGCATTTATGTTCACCATCAAACAGGAAAACAGAAATCAAATGAAAAGCTCAGCTGCAAATATTTGTTCAACAGTCTTCATAGTGAAAAAACCACAGAAGCACATCAGGTGAATGTACTTGGCCCTTGAAGCTATCAGATGCACTCATAGGCCATAGAAATAGCTTTTCCGACATGTCTGTGCTATTTTTCCTTTTTAAAAATTTTTAAATTTTAGATTTAGTTTTATAGAGGCTTATAATACTTCGAAAGCAAGACGTTGCAAGTAGATAAATAGGTATCACTTCAGTGGGAAGGTAACAGCGTTTCATGCGCCTTGGTGTTTAGTCATGCCGGCCACATGACCACGGAAATGTCTTTGGACAGCACTGGCTCTTCGGCTTTGAAACGAGCACCGCGACCCTAGAGTCAGATTCGACTGGCTTTCGAGCAAGGGAACCTTTACCGTTGCAAGTAGATAAATAGGGATCACTTCAGTGGGAAGGTAACAGCGTTTCATGCGACTTGGTGTTTAGTCATGCCGGCCACATGACCACGGAAATGTCTTTGGACAGCACTGGCTCTTCGGCTTTGAAACGAGCACCGCGACCCTAGAGTCAGATTCGACTGGCTTTCGAGCAAGGGAACCTTTACCTTTATAATACCATAATTATAAAAACAGCCAAGAAAAAAGTGCCAAGTGAGACAATACAATATTACAGCTATGAAGAATCTGGAAATATGCACTTTATAAGTTAAAAACTAAATTAAAAAAATCAAATTATGTTAACCAAGACCAGAAGGTGGAATGCAACGTAAAATCTTTGGGGCCACCAGGGGCAGGCCATAGAAATAGTTTTTCCAGTATGTCTACACTATTTTCCATTTTGAGCACCCTCACCAGTATTTTTAAATCTGTTTAAGCGGCTGAACTGGGGCCGCTTTGGACTGGTTCTTACCCTGTTAAAAGCAGATGGTTTTTGTACGTACAGCTTTCCACGTGGCTCTGATATGCATGCTCCAAAGTGCACACATCCCTGGTCCTTCCAGTAAAGCCCTAGAAAATAATACAACATTGAACGGGTGTCTCCCCTGCCGCTTCACCTGCATGTCTGTGTATGCTTTAGGTGCCTGATGGAGCAACCGTCGCTCTCGTTCCTCGTATGACCAAGCACCTTCCCAGGGAGAACCAGGATTACATCCCTGGAGAGAGTGAGTCCTTGCAGCTCTTCTTTAAAACGGGCACTGTGAACTGGATGCGGGAGAAAATCACATAATCTGGAGAATATCGGCACCTACCCTGGGTGGGAAGGAGAGAGGAAGAGATTCCAGTTTCATCTCTGCTCTTTGTGAAACAGAAACATGGGGACGGTTTGGTCTGCAGTTCGCTGGCAAGACCTGAAAAGGTTAATCCAGGAGCCAGTTCAGAAATGTTGCGTTTCTCTGTATCGTAGAGACCCCAATGTTGGAGGACGCAGATGAAGGTGGGATGAAGCTTTGGCACCTGGTGAAGCCAACGGAGGAGCCAGAGCTGCCGAAACATCGCCGAGGGAGCCTGCGGGAAAGGGAAAGGGCCAAGGCCATTCCTGAAATCTACCTGACTCGCCTCCTCTCCATGAAGGTAGGGAAGAAGAGGGGCCGGAGCATGCAGAGTGTCCCAGGTTCTGTCCCTGGCATCTCTAGTTAGGAGGTGATGTGAAAGACCTCGCCAAGCCGTAGCGCTGACAAGAGCTGTCCTTGACAAAGTGCAGGTTCTGTCAGCGCTCTCTCAGCCCCACCCACCTCACAGGGTGTCTGTTGTGGGGAGGGGGAGGGAAAGGAGTTTGTAAGCCGCTCTGAGACTCCGAGTGAAGGGCGGGGTATAAATCCAATCTCCTCCTCCTCCTTCTTGAGGCCCCAGAGAGCCACTGCCAGTCAGTGTTAGCAGTGCTGGACTTGATAGACCAAGGGTCTGACTCGTACGGCAGCTTCATGCATTCAAGAGCAAAAGACTGATTGCCAGAGAAACTGCCCTGTTTTAGGTTCTCTTTGTTTGCGGTCACAGACACTAAATGATCCACTTTCGATGCACTTTCAAATTGGATTTTGCCAGTTCAAACAGTAAAAATCCAGTTGGAAAGTGCATTGAAAGTGGATTGAAAGCGGGTTATTTAGTGTGTGTGACTGCAACCTTTGCCACCCTTCCTCCCCATTCTTTCAGTCTAGGTTTGGAACACCACCAACAACATGGCATCATGAAACCCTCTCATGGTGGCATGACTCTGCACCCAGTTTCAAATTGTGGGACAGGAGAAATTCATAGCAAGTAGAGATTGTGGGAAGGAGATCCTTTGAAGGACTCTGGGAGGGCTGTAATTCCAGTGATGTTTTTGGAATGGCTCATTTCTGTTGTGGAACATGTATATTTTTTTACGGGTGGAAATTGAAAAAACAGGGGGGGGGGGTAACAGATGTCATTTGATTGCACAGGATTTGGGAACTGGCCCAAATAAAGAGTATCTTGGATTATGGTGTTAGCTGCTTGAAGAAAAAAGGGGGCCACACACCAAGGCAAGATGAAGAAGAAACACAATGGTGCCGAGGGAAATGGAATGTTTAATAGTTATACAGCCCCTACATGTTTCACATGCAGTTTCGTCAGGGGGAATCTTTCAGATTCTTTTTTGTTCTTCTCCCATATGTACACTGGAGCAGTGTATGTATGAGAATGTGTGTGTATGGGAACGGAACGAAGAAGAATCTGAAAGATTCCCCCTGATGAAGCTGCACGCAAAACGTGTAGGGGCTGTATTACTATTAAACATCCCATTTCCCTCTGCACCATTTTGTTTCTTCTTCTTCAGTTAGCTGTTATGTACTCAGAAGCTCTTCTCCTTCTGATCTGCCCAGAATCTTTACCCATTCAACTTGTGCGTCCCCTCCCCCCCATGTCTGGTTTTCCCCTAGCTCTGTGGGCACACGTGCCATCGCCCCAGCCAGGCCCAGACCATCATTAAAGTGTCGAATTCTCTGCCAAATAATTTTAAGTAAATGAAAGCATTTGGGATTGCTTTCCTTACTTTGTCTGGATCATCTTAAGTTAATGTAGGAGTTGTTTTTTTCTAAAGTAAAACCTCAGTATTCAGGTTAAATTGCCGTGTTGGCACTTTGCGATCAATAAGTGGGTTTTGGGTTGCAGTTTGGGCACTCGGTCTCTAAAAGGTTCGCCATCACTGCCCTAGCTTATGGCTGGCTCTGCTCGGGATGATGGTTGTAAATTTGCTCTGTTCCTCTTGCTTTCTCTGCTCTCCTCAAACTGAGCTGTGGTCATCCCACCCCATGACTCTGGCCTGGGTTTGCTTGCAGGGAACCCTGCAGAAGTTTGTGGACGACCTGTTCCAAGTGATCCTCAGCACCAGCCGTCCCGTTCCCCTGGCTGTGAAGTATTTCTTTGACCTGCTGGATGAGCAGGCAGTGCAGCATGGGATTACAGACCCAGAGACCATCCATATCTGGAAGACAAACAGGTATGTGACGCAAGCCGCTGCCCAGCTCACCCCAACAAGAGTGGCTGATCCTCAGAGGCATGCGCTTCCCGATCAGGAACTGCTACCAGTCTTCCATGGCCCATGGAGAATGTGACGCGAAAGACAATGCTCTGGCAGTTGCCATCAACGCTCCCGCCAAGCCGTGGAGTCTCGTGAGCAAAAATTCTACTCTGTGAGCTGCTGGCAACACGGTTGTGAGCGAGCGATTTGGCTACTGCATAAATTAGTTTGCTCTGGAACCCTCCTTCCTGAGCGAAGACAAAAAATCTGTGAGCCAGAGGCTAAACAACTAGAAGCTAGCTCACACTAACTTAGCTTAGAGGGAACACTGGCTTCCATCCCTGATGCCCCTTCCGTGTCTTTTAATCTTCGGTTGTCACACCAACCCTATGAGGCAAGCCATTATTGTCCCCGTTTTGCAGGCTAGCTAACGAAAGGTCATAGAAAGTAACTTGCCAAAAAACATTCTGGTACCTGGGTGGCTGAGCAGAGCTCCAAAACTATATTTCCTAGGCCCAAACCAAATCATCCTCGTTAACTAGACTCGTCTAGCTCCTGGCATCAAAGGCCAGTCCACCGATTGCAGAGTATGCAGGCTGTATTGGACATGAACTGCACGTTCTCCTCAATTCTTGTGCAGGTTGTGCCTGATTTGGATCAGGACCATGGAAACAGGACTTCAGCCCTGCTGGAACAGGAGGGGGTGCTATTTGACCAGGGATGTCTGCAACAGACCAAATAGCACCCTGCCCAGACCATTCCAAGTTAGGGAAATGGCAGCACACTTGCAGTTCACGTCTGACTGTAGGGTGGGGACTTGGGACCCTACTTGGGTACATTGGAGGCACAGATCAGCCTCAGTGCACTTAATTTGCAGAGCTCTGAGCACATGCTGTCAGTTGAGCCTTTCTTCTCTCCGTAGCCTACCCCTGAGGTTCTGGGTCAACATTATCAAGAACCCCCAGTTTGTTTTTGATGTGCAGACTTCAGATAACGTGGAGGCCGTGCTCCTGGTCATCGCGCAGACCTTCATGGACTCCTGCACCCTTGCTGATCACAAGCTGGGTCGGGTAAGCCGGGAAAGAAGCAGGCCGATAACTTTGCTAGTTCATTTTCTGTCTTGGAGAGAACCTGGGGCCTGTCATTTCCAGGCCAACATTTCCAGCACCACTGATGCACGGCAGCTGTTGATGTGGTTGCATGAAATTTCTCCCAAAGCAGCCATTCTGCAGTGGGTGTAGGGCATTTCCCCAGCACATAACTCATGCGTGCAATTCTTTCCCAGGTTAGCACAGTTGGTACTTATGGGATTGTTCATTGCATGGAATGTGAAAAGTACGCAGACGGAGAGTGATTTCACCAAGCGTACTTTATTTGATCAGGAACAAGACGACTTTGGCCGGCTCGCAGGCTGGCTTATATTCCCCGAGAAACCGCCACCCAAAACACCCCCCTTCTCAATAGGTTATTTACAGCGGCCGAGAGTCCCATTGGCTCTCGGCCAGGAACCTAGCCCCCTGATTGGAGCGGGCTAGGATCCGCATAGTCCATTGTCTCTTGGAGCGAAGCTTGACATTTGTCTCTGGACTTGTCTGGACATGTCTGGACTTGTGAGGACTTGATACACCACAGAATGTGATTGGGCAGTTAAGAACAGAAGAGCTCCGCTGGGCCAGACTAGTGGTCTATCTGGTCCAGCATCCTGTCTCACACTGCGGCCATCTAATTACCCTGGGGGGGCCAAACAGACAGGGCATAGAGGATAAGGCTGACCTCTGTTGTTGCCTTAGAGGTTTGCTGACGCTGTAGATGGAGGCTTCCTTTAATTAACATGGCTAGTAGCCATTGACGGACCACTCCTCCATGAATCTGTCTGACCTCCTTTTCAAGCCATCGATGCTTGTGCTCATCACTACCTCCACTGAGTGACTTCCACTGTTTAATTACTCATAGAGTAAAGAAGTACTCATGGGGTGAAGGACAAACTCTGAAACGTTTAGCCAGTTTTTGGAGCGGGCTCTGGACCTAGAGGAGGGGGGGGAGTTCCTTGAATGAAGAGCTGGGGGCATGACTACCTTGTGCATCTTTCTGGACATCTGATTGGTTTGCCTTCTTTCCCCCCCACCCCCCGCCCCTAACTACAGAGGTACCCTATTATTCCTGTTATTTCTCGGTTTTACTAGGCATTGTCGTTAATTCCATGCTCTCTTCCAGGACTCTCCCATTAACAAGCTGCTCTATGCCCGTGACATTCCACGCTACAAGCAGATGGTGGAAAGGTAAGACAGAGAGGGCGGGAAAGCCAAGAGTGGAAAGGGGGCAGGCAAATGGGTGGAGAAACCAACAAGCTGTCTGCTTCCCCCTTGCAGATACTATGCTGATATCCGGCAGACGATCTCTGCCAGCGACCAAGAGATGAACTCTGCCCTGGCTGAACTATCACGGGTAAGTCGCCCACCCTAGCCACAGGCCCTTTTGATTCCCCCACCACCTTTCTTTTACACTAGATGAGATAGTGTAGTACACATTGTCTCTGCTGTCTAAAAGTAGCATAAAGGCTGGGTTGTCTTCTGCTTCGCCCATCTTCGTTATAGAGGTATAACAGGTCTTACGATCTTTCTTCCCACTTTGCAGGCCTGTAGCTAGGGCAGAGGTTATCAAAGGAAAATGCAGTTCTAGTCACCTTGGGTCAATCACAAGTTCTTTCAGAGCTGTTCTCTCAGGAGCAGTTTCTGTCAGAGCTCTCTCAGCCCCGCCTACATCACAGGGCGTCTGTTGTGGGGAGGGGAAGGAGATTGTAAGCCATTCTGAGACTCCTTTGGGTAGTGAAGGGTGGGGTATAAATACAATCTCCTCCTCCTCCTCCTCCTCCTTTTATAGCCCAATTAGTGTTCATGTTCCATAGATCCATGTGGAGATCAGCACTGTGAAGTAATCCTGTGATTCCTCCTCCTCCTCCCCACTCCCTCGCTGTGCAGGGCTGCCAGATCCCCCCCAACCCCCGGCCACCAGCAGAGAATGGTGTGTGGGGGGGGTAGAGTTGCCAGATCCAGGTTGGGAAATGCCTGGAGATTTGGGGGTGGATCATGGGGAGGACAGGGACCTCAGTGGGGTACAGTACAATCAAGTCCACCCTCGAAAGCATCCATTTTCCTCAGGGGAACTGATCTTTGTAGTCCGGAGATGAGCTGTAATTCCAGGGGATCCCCAAGTCCCGCCGGGAGGCTGGCATCCCGATCGCTGTGGCTTCTTTGCTGGTGAACTCATTCTTTCTTGGTTGCAGAATTACTCAGGTGAACTCAATTCTCTGGTGGCTCTGCACGAACTCTACAAGTACATCAACAAGTACTATGACCAGGTGGGTGCAGCTCCTGGGTGCTTTCCTTCCAGCTGGTCTTTCAGGGGGTCACACAGAAAACCACAGACTCAGAGAGTCCAAGGGGGTCACCTAATGCACTATTGCCCATAGAAGTCATAGGCACTGTGCATGAAACATGGGGAGGGGGGGGCAAATTGTTCACAGTGAGCCA